ATCTATCTATCTATCTATCTATCTATCTATCTATCTATCTATCTATCTATCTATCTGTCTGTCTGTCTGTCTGTCCCATTGTTGTTTAAATGGCTGTAAAACTAAAACTATTCCAATTTGATACTTAAAATTAAATTTAGGTTATAGATTTAGATGTTATATTGCTAGATGACAGTCATCTTACCTGGACTCTATCCTGGTTTTCATTGAAGGCATGGACTGTCTCTTCTTCAGCACCTTCTCTTTGGTGATAGTACTCTTCTCCTTTTCATTTTCTCTCTCCTTTTCTTTCTTATCCTTCCTCATCTTGAAAAAAGATGGGACAAAAAATAAAGCCAGTGACTCAAAAGCAGGTGTAAGCCTTTGTTACCTCTAAATTTTAATTTCTCATTAAAATGTCTATTTGATCAGATGATATTTCACTCGCAGTATCTGCTGGGTTTTTTTTTTCAGTTCAAAAGTGAATTATTGTAATAATGGCAACTTTAATAATATTAATGATTACATTAACAAGGCCACATTAACATGTTTCATAATGAAGATTAGTGCTGTACGGGTACATGAGACAAAACAGGTTGGAAATCAAGACTTGGCTATATGGATTCATGGATGTGTGGATGAATGATGAATGATGAATTTCACACCTCCTCTTATATCACAGCAAAATATGATATAACAGGCAGGATGGATGGAGTATGAGGAAGATGTAGAGTGAAAGGGAGTCTTAAATGACTCACAGGAGTGGAGTCTCGTCTCCGCTGGGCGATATCGGGCGTGCTGGTGGTGACCCTCCAACGCTCAGAGCAGCGGTGATGTGGCCGATGAGCACACGCTGAAAAAGGGCTGGCAGACGCTGAGCGCGGACACAACAGAGACTCTGCATGAAAGAAAACACATTTAAATCCCAATTTGCAGCATATAGAACAGAAAAAGGTCATGCTGTTTTTTTTTTCTGACTTGCACAGGCCCTAAAAATTAAGAATACTGCAAATTAGTGTTTAAAAAGACTTTGCTAAAACACTGAGGCTAATCACAAATATAAAGGGTACTATGATTGTATCCTATCACTCACGGGCATCTCTGGAGTTGTTCAGCACACTGGCAGCACTGCGACTACGAGCCAAGAAGGAGAGAGTGGGCGTCATCAGCCTGTCCACAATGCTGCTCTCCCAGGGACTCAGCTGCATGCTACGAGCTGCAAGAAAAGATTCAAAATGAGTTCCTATTAAAATATACGTGCAACAACCCCTTTCCCAACACACAACAGTTGTGATATTATTCATTTTTATAATTGTACAACTGTTCAGTTTTACAACTGCTTGTCTCCCTTGCTCTCAACAGGGATGATCCTGAGGATGCCACATGCTAGAAAAGCCAGTAAAGGTAACCAGTAAACAAGTCCAAAAAAATAACTTTTGTGAGAATTAACTCAAGTTTGAATCGTACTGAAAGAAGACTTCATCCAAAAATAAGAATTCTGCAATTTATTCACCCTAATGTTGCTACAAATCAGTGTCATATGGACTTTATTTATGGTGGTTTTTCACTATGAACTGTGTGAAGATTCATCAAAATATCAGATTTTATGTTTCATTGAAGAAAGAAAGTCATACAGGTTTGCGACAAGTAAATGATGATAGAATTTTTCATTTTTTGGGTGAACTATTAACACAAAAAGGACAAAGAAATGAATGAAACATGTTTATGTATGTTAAAAAAAACAACAATGATAAAACACTACAATAAAACTTTACACTTACCAAAAATAAACATCATTGCTAATTCTGAGAAACAGTTACATCACATTCTCAACAGTGTTATTTTAAGTATTTTAAGTAATATTTTGATTTTATTAAAAAATGTTCGGTTTTCAGTTTAATTTAAGATTTTTGGTATATTTTTATCAAATGTTTTTCTCATTTTTATTAGTTTTTTTTTCTCTCTATATTTTTTTTATTAAATTCGCATCTATTACATTTATTTTAGTTTTAGTTGTTTTAGTATTACAAATTAAACTACACAAAAATGAGAAATAACCCTACAAAAACCCTAATTCTAAACTTATGTGATTTTCAAGAGAAAAGAAAAGGGGAAACAAGAAAGAGCCGCAGGTAAATGCATGGTAAGATGCGAAAAGCGAGAGCACAAGAACAATTAGGTGGGAGAGAGGCATTTTAGAAAGAGAGATCGAGAGAGATATTGCCCATAGCTGAACATTCATCAGCACTCTGCAGTAAAGTTTCTGCTCATGGAAAACTTCCCAGACTCGATTAGCTGTCTCAGCACTAAGCATGAACTCTACTTTCTGCTCTACTCCATCTATTGTTTTAGGGTGCACTCACAAAGCCCTACTTACGATTGAGTTTTCATGACCTCAGTACATGCACAGGGTTCCCACTCTTTCATGAACACCAGATTCAAGGACTTTCAAGGACTTTTTACAGCACCATTTATTTTATATCAAGCACCTGTCAAATTCACAGCATATGTAGTGTCATGAAAGACCTTACAGTACTTAACATTTCACTTACACTTAACATTTACATTAAACATTTCAGAGTAATAATGTTTTGAATGTGTAGGTTTCATAAATTTTGACCGTTTTGAGCAGTCGTGTTCAAAGGAATTTAATGAAATATACTGAAGTCAGTACTGGTAATATTCAAATACAATTTCTAAAATATTGATAAAATATGCATCAAACTGGTTTTGCTGTATTTCTTGTACAAGATTTAAATTTGAAAGAATTTCTCAATTTTTAAATTAATAAAAAGTGGTTAAATGTTGTAATAACATGGTAAAACCTCTTAACATTAAAAATTTGCACATTCACTCAAAAGAGACATCACTCATTAATAAACTCAAGTCAAAATTTTGTAAATGACTTTTTATTGTAAATCCCCTTTTTTCATCTTTGATTTAGAGGAATGCAGCTGCTCAAAGCGTCAATATGTTTTGAAAATATTTCATGAACATTTTAAACTTTGTATACTCTTAAAAATAAAGGTGCTTCAAAAGGTTCTTCAAGCGATGCCACAGAAGAACCATTTTTGGTTCCACAAAGAATCATTCAGTCAAAGGTTCTTTAAAGAACCTCCTCTTTCTTACCTTTTTATAATCTGAAGAACTTTTTTTCACCACAAAGAACCTTTTGAGAAACAGAAAGGTTCTTAATAAATAAACTCAAGTCAAAATAATTTTGTAAATTACTTCATTGTAAATCCCATTTTTTAATCTTTGACCTAGAGGAATGCAGCTGCTCAAACATGCAGCTGCTCAAAACGTCATTATATTTGATTTAATTAAAATATCATTAAATCAAAATATTTCATGAACATTTTAAACCTTGTACATGTGCAAATCTGCAAAAAAAAATAAAAGAAAAGAAAAGAAATTAAAAAAAAATAGGACTTTCTATTTGCTTTTAAACTGTAAACGCTTTTTACTAAGTTGTTTTTCCAATTTTTCAAGTTCTATATTTTTCTCCTTAGCTCCAAGTTGCAGTAAGTTTGGGGAGTTCATTTTTAGTCCATCTCCTATCCTGAAAAGTCTGTCTTGCAGAGACTGATAAAAATTAGCTCCAAAAACTTACTGCCAGATTCTGGAAGATCAATTCTTCAAACAGTGGTACAAGAGGATGTGGTGCTGGTCCTTCAAGAGTCACTCTCAACTTATCGGTCCATAAAGCCTATAAAAATAGTCTTCATGTATTTCACAACACTTCAGAATGTTATTCTTA